AATTTTAATTATTATACTAAACAGGTCTAATGTATACTAGTTGGGGAAAAATTTGTAAATAAAAATATAAAATTAATATTTTTATTTAAAGATATTAATTTTATTAATTTATAAATAAAAATATTAATTTTTATTTTTTTAAGATGTTAATTTTTAATATTTTAATCTTTAAATAAAAAATTAAATATTAATATTTTATTTATGAATTAATAAAATTAATATTTTTAAATTTTAAAAATACAAGATTAACGTTATTATTTACTCCTTTTCTCCCACTACTTCACGCTATAAGCGTGGGCCCAAAATTAGAAGGATCTACAGTTATCCAGAACTACAAAATCAAAACCTCTTTCCTAAATGTATCTGACCTGAATCTTCTGGAACCTCCCAGAGATTCCCTCTCCTCCTTCTCGAACTTCCTCCAACCCCTGTATAAAAAAATGTCCCAAAGCGCATCCCTAATCCAACAACACAAAACACACAATTACTCAAAGCAGATTCTTCTTTCTGAAATTGTCTGTAAAATTTCCCAAGAAGGATGGATGGTTCCTTTTGGTCGAAGAATTTACTGCCCGGTTTTCCGTTAACTGGTCGTGGCCAAACGATGCCGGTTCATGCTCCGAAGGTGGTGTCGAGCGAGATTCCGGTGGCGGTTCGTGGCCAAACGAAGCCGGTTCATGCCCCGAAGGTGGTGTCGATTCCGGTACATTTCGTCGGGTCGGAGCGGAGCAGATCCGACTCGGCTGTGAAGATTCAGAAGGTGGTTAGGGGGTTCTTGGTGAGGAAGTGCATGAAGAAGATTGCGACGATTAGAAACGAAGTGAACGAGATCGAGGAGAGGATTGCGGAGAAAGAGACTGTGGATTTGATTCGTAGGGATCCGAAGGAGAGATTGAAGGTGATCGAGACGTTGATGAGCTTGCTCTTTAGGTTGGATTCTGTGAGAGGAGTGGACTCTGGGGTTAGGGATTTCAGGAAGGCGGTAATCAAGAAAGCGATTGCGTTGCAGGAACTGGTGGACGCGATAGTAGTCGGCAATCAAACACTGGAATCAGACAATGTTGCAGTTTCTGAAAGTGTCGAACATAATCAAGCCGGCGAAATTGGGGAAAATGCCGTGGATCAAACGCTAGAAAGTCAAGGTAATTCTAATATCATCAAAACCCTTGCAGATTCTGCTGGTAATTGTGATTCCTGCCCAATTAATGGTGCTGGTGCTGAGCCTGTTCCAATTATAAGTGAGCTTGAGGTGACGCCTGATGAATTGACTACTGATAATAATGGTCAAAATCAGGAAACCATAGATATGATTGAGGAAATTCTTGAAGATCATGAATGTCAGGAGGAAATTGTTGGGATTAGTCAAACCGAGAGTCAGTCAGATTCCTCTATGAATCCTCAGACTCTGGCTGAAGGTGGTGATTCTGGGGAAGGAGGAAATTTTGCCTCAAATGTAACTCTTGAAGCCGATGATCTAGCTAAAGAGGAAGTGATTGTGAAAGGAAATTGTGGGGTTGGTTCTGGAAGGGGGGAGGAGGAGAACAAGAGGAGCAGGGAACTACTGGAGAGGATGATGGAGGACAATGAGAAGATGATGGGGATGATGGCACAATTGTTTGAGAGGAACGAGAAGCAGACGCGACTACTGAGTTCGCTGTCCCAGAGGGTGGAGCTGCTGGAGAAGGCTTTCCTGTGTGAGAAGTTAAGAAGAAAGAAGAGGAATGCTGCCAGTGCTGCTTCTGATGTTGTTGAAAGGTCCCCAGATACCAGGAAGTCTGGAAAGAGATAGTGGAATTGGACAATTTGGGTGTAGAGATTTTTACTTTTGGCTTTCATGTTTGCTTTGATGTTTGCATTTGTTTTCACCTCTTCTTCATTCTGCAATGAGTTTCTTTGTAGAGCTTCAGGGGAAGTTGTTAAATGTACTTTGTTTTGGTAATATGAGCTCTGGATTCACTTCAAAAATTCCTTCTATTCTCTTGCAATATATACATATATTATGAATGGTTACAACTTAGGATTGGGGTTGGAGTAGGGGAAGGAGATATTTGTATGGTATTTATTATTGTGGTTCGAATTTTGATACTATCTAAGGTATTGATTCAAACTTTGGTACTAAGGCATTGGTTTGAATTTTAATACTAATTAAAGTTTTAGATGCAACAATCAACTAACTTACAAAGTTGGGTACTACAAAGAAATATATTTAGATCAATGAATTTAGCTAATGGTAAATCAAATTATCACTCTCCCTGAATTTATTTATGAACAAATCCAAGCTAAAATCTTTGAACTCAAGTTCCACTCTAAGCTTAAAATTCATTTATAAATAACAAGTTGAATTTAACTCACTGTAAGTCTTTGCGCGTACTTCGGTCCGATAACAGGTTGAACATCTAGATCGGGACTGGGTGAGTTTTTTAAGTTGAATTTTTACTTAGCCGAATTCTGAGTAATTTATATTGGTGGTACTATAAAGATAAATTTTTTATATAATTTTTATATTATTAAATAAATAGATATATTTAATATTATAAATTTTACATGAATTAAAATAATTAATTATTTTAATTACATATTAAATTATACTAAAAGGTAAGATAAAAAGATTTCACAAAAATCATTTTCCAATTTATAATGTTCACAGCCCTAGTAGACTTGACAAGTAGGTGGATCGCATTGGGCCAGGTTGGATTATAACAACTAACGGGTAAGGTTGGATTATCACAACTTACGGGTCAAACGAAATAACCAATTAGGTCATTCTTAGGTTAGAGAAGACAATCCAATAATCCATAATCAGATTTCACAGCTTAAGGTTTAGTTTGGGATTGTTAGCCTCTAGATGTAGATATAATATATTTAACACTTATTTTAATTGCTATTTATATATTTTGAGAAATGTTTATCAATCAGATTTGTAAAAAAATTAAGTAAAACATTATTTTAAAATTATATTATTTTAATAAAGTACTATAAAAAATTAAAATATTTTCATTACTACTTTAAAAATAATTAAAATATTTTAGCAATTTCTAATAAAATTTTATTAAAATGATGTAATTTTAAGATTTTTTTACTTAATTTTTTACAACATAAGATAATGTTATTTTAATATATTTTAAAAAAAAATAAAAAATTTTAGCAATTTCTAATAAAATTTTATTAAAATGATGTAATTTTAAGATTTTTTTACTTAATTTTTTACAACATAAGATAATGTTATTTTTATA